ATATAGTTAGTTTAGTTGAATTCTTCTCCGCCTAGTTTTGAAACTATGACCCAAAATCCTAAAAAAATCAAATAGAATGATATGACTTTTTCTTTATGAAAAAGTAGCCAAATAATATCCAAAGAGGTCAGTGAAAACCGTTTTTCAAAATCTAACCTCAAATATTGGGAAAATGAGATTAATTAATTAATTAATAAAAATGCTTAAATTGTATCTTAAATTTACTTTTGACGTATTTCCGGTATTTGTCGATGGCGCGAAAGTTTGTTTGGAAAAGCACCCTAAAATATTAGGTAGGCCTTGGAAAATTAAACAAATGAAACACGATGCATTATAAAATAATAACAGCCGTAATTTGTAAGTTATTCTATTGTGTTTGCGCATTCAGAAAGTGCAGTTACGCCCTCTGGTGGTCTTTTTAGAACTTGAAAATATTTTCCAGCAATTCTTCATAACCGATTTACTCAATAATTTTTTTTACCACTAAGTCATACAACGAATGGTTCCCGACATATGGCCGAGGAACAGTCTTATTGGGTCACCCTGTATGGGACCCCATTGGATGGTGACGTGAAACATTAATTTTTTGTATCAGTATATTTTTCTGCACTGTCCAATAAAAGACAATTTATTATTATTTTCTATTTCGAGCTATTTATAGTATTTCGTTTCTTGATCCAAATACATGTGGTTACCAAAAATGGATCTTAGTGTACAAACAACGGTTTTCACGTCATTTGAATAACGTTGTCTCCAAAAATTCATCTTTTGACCTTTGATCTTGTATCCCACGTGTTGATGCTTTGTGGTTGCACGGTTTTTTAAAATTTGGCCATGAAAAATATAAAGAGTGGTCTCATTATTCGGTAGGATTTTTTAATTTTCTTGGTTGTGTTACGAGAGCGTTTGGCCCTAAAATACGGTCTTGATTTTTTAAATGCGCTTGAAAACTTAAGGCGCCTGTGAGTCGTGGAATACGGCGTGATTGTCTTAGGTCACAAAACAATTATTTGTTTATATTGCAGTAGTCATGATTGGGATTGGTGCGTCAGATGGGATTCGCAGAATAGGGGATTTGCGTTTGCAGTAAGCGAAGCGAACCACCTGTGTATTATTTTGTGAAAAGACAATTCGCGCTTTGAAATGAGTCAGGGTATGTTAACACCCTGTAAATTAGCACCGGATGCGAAAGGTTCATTCTCCTGGATTTATATTGACTAAACTGTAAGAACAAATTTGCAAGAAGCATTAATTTACGTTTTTTGGGCATGTCTTTCTTCCCCATTTATCTTTCATGGTGGCGTGCATTTTTTGTGGGTTTAATGCTCGGTTTAATGTATGCTTAATTTCTAGCCCAATCCACCAAGAAAACAAAAGGTAGGAGCACCAAATTCCAATCGTAAAACGAAACCGGTCGATCTTTTCGCAATTACCGACGATGCGGAAGCACTAAAAGAAAAGATTGTAGAATGCAATAACAAAGATCTGTTCATTCAAGAATTGACTGAACATGTTGAAGAGCTAAAGCAAGACCTGAATGATCTTCAAAGTGTCATCTCGAAACTGACGAAACGTAACAGTTCCCTCGAGTTGAACGTGGAAAAGTTAAGCGATGATCATTCAAAGACCTTAACCGAGCTTACGAAAAAGCGCGAACTTGAGGTGGTTTTGGTCAAAAAGAAAGCGCTAGAGGTAAGTGGCAAGGTGGACGAGGTAAAGAATAAATTTGTTGCGTTAAAGGAGGAGAGTGTAGAAGAATTGAGTAATTTGTTAAAATGTATCGGTGTTCTTCAGAATTTGTTAGATTTGTTAAGAAAAAACACTCAAATGATAATTGCGGAACAAACTGAGGAATTGATTCTGAAAAATAAACAAATATACGAATTTGAAAAGAGTATAAGCCAGCTCAAAGCATTACATCTTCAGGAAATTCAAACTCTGGAAAGTGATATGCTGAAGACTGTAAGTAATATGCATAATATAATCGACAATGAAAAAGAAAATGGAGAGAAACGGGTAAATGAAGTAACAAATGCGAAAGAACAAGAAATTGGTACTTTGAAAGAGAAGTTTGACAAAGAACGGTTGAAGTTAATTGAAGATTACGAAATGAAGATTCAGCAAATGAAAGAGAATTTTAAAGAAGCGACAATTTTGACAGAAATCCAGACAAGAGAGAAATGCGAAACCATCGAATCAAGTTGGAAAGCCAAAGTTGAGGAGGTGCAGCTTGAAGCAGATGCCATTTTGAAAGAGTGCCAGGCAATTGCCGAATATAATATCATCCAAAGTGAAATAGAAAAAAACAAAGTATCGTACGAACTAACCGAAGAGAAGAAGAAAGTTGAGGAATTACGAGCTGAAAATTTGGAAATGAAGAGTAGTTGCGCCGTGGCGGAGACGAAAAGAAAAGAAATCGAAACGCAGCTTAGCAATGTTATCATCGAATTAAATACTATAAGAGAAGAATTAGGTAAAGAAATTACAGAATGCAAGGAGAATGTTAGGGCAGCAACTAAGGATAAGAATTTATACGAGTTAACAGTACAGAAAACACACAAGACTGTCGAAGCTTTAAAAAGGCGGCTTATGAAGTCTGACCAGGATGTAGAGCAGCTAAAAGCTGAACTTGAGGCTACCGAAGAGTCGAAACTTGAGGTTGAGGGCAAATGCAACCAGCTAATGCACGAATTGGAAATTGTCACAGACTTGTGCGATATTATCGAAGAACAAAATAAAATGACGGTCGATTTAGCCGAACA